GTAAGCATCAAGTGTTATAAAGTCTTAACATTTATTCTCATTGTTTGTTTTTTTATCAAGTTCATTCTAAGCAAGGCAGTAAAGCCACCAAGATTAAAAGGGTTACTGGATATGGAAGAGTCTGAAACAGGAACATTACTAAGGAGCAAGATACAGAGGAAGAGTAATCAGGACAGCAGATAGCAATTGACATTGCATTTAATTTTTGAAGAATAAAGTTGACTGGAAAGTATGAAGATGAAAGGATGTTCCTCAAGTAAGAAGTGTGAGAAAACAAACTATTAGCATAGAATTTATGGTTATATCTTGCCAGCTCAACTGTAAATTGGTGAGACCTCATTGCCAGTCTAGTACTGCACTTAAATTCAAAGAGTCTAAGCACTATAATGAAGAGCTCATCTGAAGAATTACTTTGAAAGTAATTATAAAAAAAGGCAAAAGGAGGCAACCTTACAGTGGTGGGAAAGTGACTGAAGTCAAGACACCAATAATATTGCTGATTCTTCTTTGAATTTTATCAAGGAGCTCTAGATAGATAGCAGGACCATCAGGCCATATATGGCAGCAATATTCTAAGCCCATGCTATATCTATTACCTATTACATATATGTAAATCTACCATGAATGGTAGACTTACAGATATGTAAAATAGATTCTGGAGAGAGAAACTGTTTAGCAAAGCACAGTGAACCAACCTTCCTGTCAGCTGACCTAGCAATGGATTCAATATAGTCTTCATGTCAGCCAATAATGTTAGATCAAGATGGCACAACAAGTCATTCTCCTGGAGGTCAGCATTATCCATGCTGATGGAAGGTAGAAAGTGTTCCCTCAGATGATTAATAGAGAGAAGTTTAGTTTTAGAAGCATTAAAATTAACAAGCCATCCATTGCCTCGGTTAACAACAGTCTGAAGATCATTTTGGATATCAGCTGCCATTTTGACTTTATCAAACTGATCAGAGTTACTATCAAGACAGGAGTAAATGGGTGTCTCATCAGCAAGTTGAGTGCTGATGACATCGGGAAGGTCATTAATGAAAATCAAAAACAATGTAGGAACAAGGATAGAGCCCTGGGGGACACCCGAATTAGTACGAAAGTAACCGGAAGAGTGGCTGTTCAGGATTACTTTCATTTCACAATTCAATAGGAAAGATTGGATCAGTTCAAAAATTTGTCTACAGACATAACTTTTTAGCTTGTAGAGATGACCGGCATACCAAACCCTGTCGAAAGCTTTCGAGATGTCCAAAGCTACAGCCCAGGATTCCCCATTTTTACCTAAAGCTTGATAGACTCTTTCTGCAATTATCATCAGTACATCAGTTGTTGTCCTGGAGAAACGAAAGTCATATTGTTTGTTTGAAAAATCAGCAATGATTAGGACCTCTCAGAGTTTCTCAAAAAAGAGGTAGAAGGCCAATTAGGAATTGCTCCATGATTTGAAGGGTTGGATGGTTCACAAGAGTTCTTAAAAACTGGAACAACAAATGAGGACTTCCAGCAGGCAAGAGCTAGCAAGGCACTTATACAGTTTAGAGAGAACAATAGCCAGTTCAGATGCACACTTCTTAATGACTATAACAGAGATATCATCAGGTCCACATGCTTTGTGGGGATCCAGGTTAGAGATGATATCAGAGACCCTAGAAAGGGTTATATACATATCATTCAAATGAGACATAGTTCAGGTAGGAAGTTAGGCAGATTAATCAAGAGTAGAGTTTGAGGAGAATTTACAGGAAAAACTTTCAGCTTTATCAGCAGAAGATGTTAACACTTCAAATTGATCGAAGAGAGGAGGAATAGAGAACTTACACTTATTTAATACACTATTACAGAGCTGCCAGTAATCATGAGAGACAAAGTTTTTAGATGCAATATGATACCCTATTCTCTCAACAAACAGAGACTCATTTACATGAGCAGCAACAAATAGGCATCTATCTGTCATGCTGGTATAGCTGAAAATAGTGGCTCCTGTGGGCTATAGCAATAGAGTATGCTGGTGTGAACCATGGATAAGATTGAAGTTTCACATGGTATTTTTCTGAGATTGAATGAAAGCATTTGACCCAAGAGGTAACCTCAAAGGCAATTCTTGATTTGAAGGTTGATCAATCTGTGATTTTTTGGGGGGACATCTCCTGGAGATGTCCCTCCAAAAAATCACAACCAGAGTAAGTCTCAATCATCATGCTGGTAATGAAATGATATCTTATGAATAGGAGGTTCCTGATTAACAGATGATTGGAAGGAAAAACATCAATAGATACCACAGCTAAATTTATCTGAATTTCCCAGAGAACAGTGTTGCAAAGCTTGGCAAGAGCAAAAAGAGAAGGTGAGAAATAAATCAAGTAGAGAAGTCTATTGCTTTGGTATGGTAGAGAAATGGGTAGGAAAATCAACAATTTGAGTAAGGAATTGAGCAATGGGAAAGTTTAATGTCTGAATACTGACAGCATCAGCAACATTAGAATGTTTTAGCTATGTGTTGTGGTGTGCATTAAAATCATCGAAGACAAAGTTGTCCGAAAATGGATGGCAAGATAGTACCAGTTCTATACTGTCAGATATTGTTTAATATACTGCAGTCCTGAGAAGAGGGGGAGTGATAAAGGGAAAAGAGATAGCTAAGAGAGTGTAATAATGAAAGGCGAAAACACATGTAAGTGTTGTTGGAAGATGTAAACACCAAGGCCATGCAAATGAATGCTGGAATCTTTTCAACAAAGAAGATATCCAGGAACAGAAAATTCATATGTAGCAATGTCTGAATTTAAGTTTGCTTGGCAAAGTACAAGGATGTCAGGCGACCATTCCATGAGAAAAGATTCTATACTGCTGAAGTTGGAGCAGATATCGCAAGTATTGGAGAAAGTTTGAAGGGTGTATGTGATTTTTTTTTTTTTGTTTTTGATAGTTTCCTCATATTTTGTGTTGTGGAGAAAAAGAAAAGGCCAACGTAATTATCACTATCTGTTGTTAATGGCAATACAAACCAGTCAAGGTTAGTTCTTGGTAGCAAGTAAGAGTTGACAGCAAGTTCATTAGAACCAGCTAACCGAGGATTAAAGTTCAGAGTAAGTTGTGAACTGTGAGGTTGAAACAGCTATAAAATTGTAACTTAGTATATGTCCAAATACCTACTCTTTGGGAAAGCATTCAGATAACTCATGGTCAATTTATCATACAGGAAAAACTTCCACTAAATGTAGAGACATTGAGAATTACTATTCTAAATTACTAAATTACTGTGCAAATAATTAGAGCAGGTGTGTGTGTGTGTGTGTGTGTACATACATATATAAGGAAAAAGGACAATAAGAAAACTGTAGTTTTAACTAATGCATTTTGAGAGTGTAACATTTTTAAAATTTACTCGGAAAGAAAATCCTCAAGAGTGCTTCCATTGAATATTATCCAAATATTAATATATGCCCCAGTTTTTTCCCAATCTCACCATTCTTAATCTCTCCCAAGCCAACATACACAATAAATATATCAAGAAATCAAAAAACAGTTGTATCCATCAACACAACAATACAAACAATATTTCTACATATGAAAAAATTCTCTTCAAACATAAAAAGTAAATGACGCATTTTTTCAGTTGACCCAATGAATACATAATGTCATTTCTAATTTCTTCTAGTTACTGACGACATTCTGTTTTTTTTTATTGATATTTTGATTCAATAAATTTCGTTTTTTGCCTTGAAAAGTCCATATTGGATGAAATGTGTCAGCTAAGACTACAGTTTTCCTTTTGTTTTTTTCCTTTATACATACTGTATATTTCTAGAGATTAATTCTGAAAATTTATATAAATAAGCATGTGATAGAGCAAGAAATAAAGACAAAAATAAATAGGATAAAAAGAAAAGGAAAAAGTTTAAAAAAAAAAAATTAATGCAGCAAAAGACAAAAAAGAAAATCAGTAAAAAATTAACCCCAACGCACATTAAGATGGGCAAAGTTGATGTTGGAATCTTGTCCAAAAGTTATAAGAGACACAAGTTATTTTGGAACACTAAGAAAGAGTAGAGGGTTTCAGACCCCACTAGGGGTGTGGACATAGATATGAAGACGCCATTGGAAACTTCGTGTGTCCTTCATTTTTTTTTTTTTTTCCCAGTTTTACATATTTTACAAATGAAAATGCATCTATCTAATCTTTGGGAAAGCATTCCATTAACTCACAGTCAGTTTATCATGTACAAAAAACTTCCACTAGATGTAGAGTCATCAAGATTTATATTTATTTAGAATTTTACTGAACCTTCATAATTTAAACACAGTTAACTTTTTAAACTTTTCTGATTAAGCCTTTGAATTTTTAAACCATATAATTAAAAATAGGGTATTACAGAAATACCTCCTACAAAATGGTAAGATATTCAAACCAAACTCTTTATTTAACCACTGGGGTAGATTGTTCTAGTTCCACGTGCCAGGCCTCTTCTGAATGGTTCAATTATTTCCATTTAACTCAACTCTCCAAGTTTGGTTCACCACTGCTGTGGCCTGGTATTGAACTCACAAATCTTTGAGTCTAGTCACTGGATCTAACCAACATCTTTATCCAGTGAATCTGGCAATGAAGATTAGGATAACAGTCCGAATAATGTAAATAAACATAATACCTCATCTCAGAGATATAGACAGACATCTGATTTGGTGCATGAATTATTTTCTACCCTACAACCATTTCCCACAGATGAGATGTTGCAAAACTCTCACTACTCTATTGCTAATTCCATGGCAAATGTTCTGGTAAGCTACATTCCTTAGCTCCACAAGCTTCGACCTTCATAACTAAGATCCACCATTCTACATACATTGGGATGAATCATACTCATTCTCTATTCCATTAGTAAGAAACAAGGTCCACTCAGATGGCTTCTTCCTAAGAACTGCTAATTTGTGGAACACTCCCAAGAAAATGTTTTCTTGATCACTACAATTTTAACCTTTTAACTTCAGGGTTAATC